CTGAATAGAATGCAATATTATTCAAATAAATATTTTTTTTTGATCGATTTTGAAAGAACTACGGCATTTAAGATCTAGCTGGAGGAAAAGTCCAGCATTTTTCGAAAATTGATTTCTCTGTACACAAAATTTGAATAACATTGCATTCTATTCAGAATTTGATGCTCTATCGAACTGTATATTAAGAAAAATCTGCAAATGTTTTCGACAGAATCTTATGCTCAAAAACTTGAGCGTATTTTTTCTGACTCAAAGTAGGTTCATTTGATAGAACATCCGAAACTGTATATTTCGCATCATTTTCGTATAGGTTAGACTTTTGGTTTGGTCGTGAGAAAAAAAATATGGAATCTAGTATGTGTTTTACAAGGTTTTTCGAGATTAAAGCGATTTTTTACAATGAAAATCGGCATTTGGAACACTTTAAATATAAACCTTATACCTTTAACTATAAACCTATTATAAACCTTTATGAACCTTAGATATATTTAGAACACTTTAAAATATTTGGGAACGGAAAATGGACTTATCCACCAGAGTTAAATTTCAAAATTTATTTTTATTTTTTTGTTTAGGTGGAAAACGTCATGAAATAAGTGCTGAAGACCACGTATTTGCTTCAATAATGCTTTATTTAGACATTATCTATATTTTCATGTATATTTTAATGTTACTTGGAAACCGCGAGTGATTAATAATCAATTATCATGTATCTAAGAGAAGCACGTTTTTGATTTTTGATCAATTGAAAAAAAAGACATATTCATTCATTTTATATTCACGTTAAGCTATTTTACACAAGCATATCCATTTTTTTCTGATATATTTTTCTTCATTATTTAAATTCTACGAAAAGAACAAATTTGCAGTATATTTTACATTTTCTCAATATTTAAGAAACTAAATAGACAAGAATCGAAAATTTTCTGATCTAAATATAAAGAAAAATAAAAACGAAAATTTTTTCTGGTTAAAGCAATAAAATAAAAATATGTAATCTGGTCAAAGATCATAGAACGAAACTAACGAACAAATACATGATTCGATAGGATTTCTTGAACTTCATTTTCTTTCCTCCTTTGTATAGTCAAGTCCATTGAATTTTGTCTTCTTTTTTTGCTTTTTTGCTAACTTTTTTGTGTTTGTCTTCTTTTTATGAGTTCGATTTTTATTGTAAGATGGCAGCGATAGTGTGAAGATGTTTGTTGAACTGTAATTTTACTTTCTCTTTTGTTTTCCAGCTCCTTCGGTTTTTTTTTCGGTGTTGTTAGACATTGCGTATTCTACGCTAATATTCATCTATATAAATTCTTCATGATCTGTTTCTTTTTTGTTGATTTATTTGCATTGTTGTTATTTGATCCTATTTTTACCTCAAGTGTACTTATTGCTAATCTTGCCGTCGTCGACAGAAATTTTTTCGAAATTTTTTGTCATCATATGCGAATGTGCAATAGAGAAGAAGAAAAAATTTCAATTGAACTTTTGAAAATTTTATTGCCTATTTTGAAAAAGAAAAAACAATCTTACAAATGATGTAATTACTATATTCTAACAAAAAAATATGAAACTCTTATTGTACCGGTTAATGTTGTATGGAATTATGATTTATTTTCTGAATGAAAAGGCTTGTTGTTTGCTAGAAAACATCTTTTTTTTGCTTTTGTCTAACTATAATTCTTTTAACTCAGTTTTCGTTACTAGAATTGTTAATATAGTAAGTATAAAAGTATTAGAATGATGATCATTTTGTGTATATCATACAGAAATTGAAATGATTATTCAATCATTCAGATGAAATAAAGTTGCTTATGATTCTTTATTTCTTTCATTTCGGCTTATAACAATGTAATTGTTAATTAAACGGCGTTTTTTTTTTTCAGTTATTTTACAGGAAAAAATTTTTTTTTTCATTAATTCTAGGAATCAAATTATTTGTCAAGAAGTGTTATTGTAATAACAAAAAAACAAAGTAGAATATCATGCATTTTTATTTTCCCTTATTTTTATTTGCATTGGGTACATGGACAGCAGTGAATTTTATTTGGGCAGAAATGCCATTACGTAAGTAGATATCTAAGTTGTCTTTTTTAAAATATTTGCAATGAGACATTGATCAAGTAGGTGTATTCATCGAGATTGTGTGATTAGAACAAATGTTTTAACATAATAAAATAGATTTGTACATATGACAGATAAAAATGCTGAAAATTAGAATTTGAGAGATCTTTATACAAACATCATATAGATTTAGTCTAACTGAGCATACAACGGATGTAGTATTTCGATGTTCTCTTTTTGCGTTTTAGTTGTATCTCGTTTACCAGAGGGTTGGAAACTACCATCTGTATTATCAATGTTAGTCGCATTAGCCAATATATTCGCATTTATCATTGCTTTTATTAAATGGCGTCGAAAAAGTTTGAATGAAATTCCATTAATTTATATAGTTTTTCTCGTCTCATTTGTATCGTGTGTTCTTCTAGTTTTTACCTGGTCTAAAACTGTATTCATTAAAAGTTCTTATCTATCTGTACCATTGTATATATTGGTATTTTTTATGTCGTCTTGTGCTATATTATGCAATGTTACATTTTTACCTTATATTCATCGTCTGTCTGATACAGCATCATTCAATGTTTTCTTTATCGGACAATCGTTTACTTCATTGATACCGGCCATATTTACAACTATTCAAGGAATATCAAAAACTCAATCATGTACTAATAATCAAACAAATCAGTTAATACAAGTCAGTTAAATATGTGGGCAGTTATTCGTTTACTGGTTTAAGTCAGCGCGCAGCACTGGTTTAGAACTAATACTTATTTTTCTATATGGGAAAAAAAGTTAGAAGGTCAAAAGATAACCATAGTAGGAATAGTAACTAATTTATTCATTCTAAACACGTCAAACTTCTAATATTTCACGTGTTCAATGAAAAATAGGAAAGTATGCAAATTTTGTTTTAGTCGTTGGAAAATTTTACGCCAAAACCTATTCCTTTAAAAGTTCATCGTTTATCATTTGAAAGCAGTATTATTCTTTGTATTATTATTACGAGTCTCAGTTTTTCATCGTTTTTATACATGGAACGAAAACGTGTTAATAAAAAACCACCATCTGAACCAACAAAAATAATGTCATCAAATATTGAAGAAGATACAGAAGTTAAAACGGATTTATTACTACCAGACACAGGTGATGTTACGAAAGAAGTGATAGATAAACCTGAAACTCCATTATCAGAAATTCAAATTCACATTCTTTACGGTTTAACATTTATTTGTGGATTTTTGCTGTTTGGAGGTAATACATTTGAAAAATGGAAATATTTTTAATTGATCTGTATTTTTTCTATTTTAAATTTTTCTAGTCATTCCAGGAATTGGTTCATATGCATTTTTACCGTACGGAAATGCAACCTATTTCTGGGCGAGTATTCTAAGTAAGTTTAACATAGATTTTAATTTAATGTATTAAGATATTAACAGATGTCCTGCAAAACTGCACGGGAGGACTTTTAAGTATTTCAGGTTTTTAAGTAATACATTTTATTGAACTCAAAAATACTAAAGTAGACTTTGTTGGATTGTCAACAATACGGTACCACGATATAATAACTTACTGAAAATGATAAGTTAGGCACTTCTAGTACCTAGTAATGAAAATAATTTGTTTGAATACCTTTCTTATACAGGCTCACAAAATTTTCTAGAAAATCCATAAACGTTCACATTCACTGTGACACTCTCAATGAAATCACTCATATTCACTTGAATTATGGTATTTTCTATCCATTACGCCATTTTTGGATCGAGTCTGGCGCCATCTATTGATTCAGTTGCTTTCACATTGATTGTTGCACCGGCTATCATGATAACTTGACAGACTGATCGACATAGGAAATTAGTATATATATTAAGCGATTTAGTCTGGAAACGATGTTGAACTTACGAAAATCATTTGGCTATTGACATAGGTGGCGGAACGAATTGAGTCTAGGGTGGGCTCAAAATTTTTTAATATCGAAAATAACTTTTATTAGTAGATTTAAAGTAGGCTTAACCTCTTCAAGCCAAATCTAAGCCTACCCTAGCCTACAGGCTCCGCCACCTATGGCTATTGGCGCGTTTAATTTGTAACACAATTATTTTTTCCTGTTAAGTTTAGATTTACTTGCATCTCCCATTGCTTGTTTATTATCGTTTATCTTTACCCGCATTCGATATTCAATTTTGCTCATTATTAGTCTAATTGCCTATTCATGTTGTGCTTATGTTATTATTATGGCAGCTCAGAGTCCATGTAGTTTTCTTCACAAGAAGTTAATCGGTACCATTATTGTGGTAAGTACAGAAATATCGACAAATATTTTACAAAAAGTCTTCTTATTTCTTTTTCTCATTATTTAGATATTTGTATCACATATGGCAATATTATTAATGATATTTGTCCGGAATACAATTGCATCTGTTTTGCGTACAACGAAGCATGTGAATGATGCCGTATTTTGGTTTGGAGTTGTAATGCAATTAGGAGCGGTATTTGGCGCAACAATCTTACTCTTACTTATCAATGTTTTTCGTAAACTAAAAGCTCGTGATCCGTGTAAAAACGAATGTAGATAAATTATACATTTCTTTTTATAGGGCTTTTTTAAATCAAAATTTATTTTCTAAATTTGCTTGTATCTTTATACGTTTTTCTAATGTATATGTAGCTTTAATAGTTTAGAACAGTTTGATGTAGATATAACTGAATAAACTTGTACATTTTATATTAATAAACGGAAGAGTAAATATGAATTTTCTAGCGAAGAGACTTTTAATCCTTTATCCTTCTCCTATCGGTTCCAGTAGAACTGCTAGAATAAACAAAATTTGAAAGAAGCAGTTATAGATGACGAATAAAAAGCCATTTAGTTTTTATTAGACAAAATACTCTACGTTTCGATATACTACTATGACGGAATCTTCCGATGTGTCACCCTCATGCATACATC